TCTCACGCGCCACACTCATCTCACGCGCCACACTCATCTCACGCGCCACACTCATCTCACGCGCCACACTCATCTCACGTGCCACACTCATCTCACGTGCCACACTCATCTCACGCGCCACACTCATCTCACGCGCCACACTCATCTCACGCGCCACACTCATCTCACGCGCCACACTCATCTCACGCGCCACACTCATCTCACGCGCCACACTCATCTCACGCGCCACACTCATCTCACGCGCCACGTCCACTGTACAGGCACGTGGCACCGCCCTCGGCCCCAATCCACTGCTGGATGAGGGCCTCCCCACGCCGCGCGTGGCCGTGGGGGTTGTTTGACCATACTTCACCGCGCTGGTCTATGCGTGGAATTGTCGAAAGGCAGGCGGGCAGCACAGACGTAGAGGACAATTGATGTTCAGTACAAATCCACAGCTGGTTTAACACGTGGCAGGCTTTCACGACCAATATTGTTCATAATAAACGTTTTTGGGTTCGATCGCGTTATTTATAATGTGTCGTAACCCTCCACCACCCGACACGGCCAATCAGTAAAAAAGTGTCACGTTGACAAAAGACAAATACCAGCGAAACGTCAAACTCAAAAATTGTAAATGTTGTGGATTCACTCTTCAACACACCGGTGGGCTAAAGTAGTGAACTATTTTGTCTTTTCTATGGGGACCTCATTTGCCAGTAAAAATATGATAATTGGTTCTTTACCCTTCTATCTGGCAACAAAACTGACACCTTTTTGCAAGGAGTCATGTTTGCATACACCAATCAACTTGAAGTTGATTGGTCCACACCAATCAACTTCAAGGACAGTGCACATTATCAGAGTTACTGTCTTTTGTTTGTATTTATGACTGCAGGTATTGCGGTCTATGCAAACATGACTCCTTGCAAAAAGGTGTCAGTTTTGTTGCCAGATAGAAGGGTAAAGAACCAATTATCATATTTTGTCTTTTGTCAACGTGACACTTTTTTACTGATTGGCCGTGTCGGGTGGTGGAGGGTTACGACACATTTATAAATAACGCGATCGAACCCAAAAACGTTTATTATGAATTCCATCGCTATCAACCCATACGGTTTACCCATCGTGTTGTACGGGGAGATTGAGTTGGCTGGTCCGTGCGGCGTACAGCCGTTTCAATAGGAGCAACACAAAATAATCATAACTCCAAATGAAAAAAGTCGTGGGACAGTTTTTTTTTCACTCTGGAGAGTAGCGAGTAGCGGATTGGGATGTACACAGTGCCGGATTATCAAATCAGCACAAGTAGCTACATATGTAGCAGCTACGGGCCCCGCACCTTCAGGGGCCCCGAGCGAAATGCTTTCAAGCTATCAATTCCGGTTCAGTGATTCTGCACTTGCTCTATTACTATAGTACTATACCGCCTTCAACTTTTATGAACGACTGGGTGTTTAAGGTTAGCGATTTGTCGTATTATCTGGCTGTATAGCAAATACCAAAAATACAATTACTTTACTGTGCAAGTTAAACATTATTTAATATGGAGATTTATTTATTCATGGCCCCTTTATAACATATGCTACAGGCCCCGCACTAGCTTAATCCGGCACTGGATGTACATGAATGATATTGTACTGACACCAATGATCAAAATGTATACATACAACAGTTTTTGTTGAGTAACATAATTGTGTCTACGTGTTTGCGTTTCTCCCTCGCGATGGGACTTTGCAGGATGAACGTTGCGATAAGGGCACGTGGTAACCAATGAGGTCTGATTTGTTCTGTAACAAGGTAGGGCACTGATAAGGGGTGGACAGGTATGCAGATTCCCAACGCTTTCAGAATGCTCAACGTGGCCCAGCAGGTCTCCCATGGCCCCTGTCACACATTGCCCGGGTCGCACGTGGCAAGCCTTCATGCGCAGACTCCCGAGTTGAGCTCGAACGAGATGGGACGCGCAACGCGGCGAGCGTGAACCACCACTGTGGTGCCACGTGAATGTATGAGGGCTGTCGTATCGACAGCACCTCATGTGCAGCAGCCACGGCGCAAGCCACAATGTTGGCTGGTAATTGGGAGGGGATATTCTGTACCCTCCCTGTTTAAAAAAACTAAATCTAGGTTCCAAACTCGTTTCTGTAGAACTGCTTTTTTGTGTTTAGTGTTGTCATTCCCCCGCACCTCCGATTAGCACGGCTGGCTACGTAGGTGCGAAAGAAGTTCTACATACTGTGCATATATGTACGTACTGTATATGACCACGTATACGGGGACTTTGACCATTCCTCGAGTGGAAACAAACACAAAAACGGCGTCCTTTGAACCTCGCCAGTTCAAAGCTGCTTGTCTTTTGGAAAGTCTGGTTCCTGCCACATGAAAGTGTCATTTCCACAATGGCTCAGAACCGCCAATGGAGATGTCCTTGTCACTTGAACGCATTAAATATTAAACACGTCTCCTTAGCCGAGCCGTAACACTGCGCCTTTTGGCTTTGACATTCATCCTCGAACACACTCACGTGGCCACTAACCGCATCAGAACATCAACGGTCCGATGCGCACATCAACAACAAACGGCAAATGAAAGAGGCAAGCCACAGCAGTGCGACTGTGCCCACCACGCACCCCGCACAAACTCCGGACCAGACAGAATCGTGAGCCGCTGCAGGAGGGGAAAGAGCAGAACTATACGAACTCTCCTTTCCCTCCTGAAGCCCCCAATGTTGCCATCGCACGCGCCAACGGCATGGTACGGACTACAGACAGACACACACAAACTGGCAGAGCAAATGCATGAAGGCTTTTTGAGCTTAGCTGGAAAGCTTAAAGTGGACGAGAGTAACGGGTGGGACATGATAATGGGCACAAAGACAATTGCTGCACGAGTGCTAATACATGATAGTCTGCACGCCTCCGGTTGCATTCAATCTGATTTTAATCGAAAACGCGAATGGCCGAGGCGATCTACGTTATAAGAATAGGTTTTACCCTTTCGTGCAATACAACAGTTGTATTAAGCTGCTAAAGATGAAACAGAAACCTTCTGCAAGGAATCATGTATGCGTTAACCACATACACTTATGGTGAACATGCAAACAAAAAAATGCTTTCGTAGTATATGATGATGCATTGTCTTTGAAACTGGTTGGTCCACGCAAGAGACAGCTTTCTTTAGAGCCTCGTCTCAACCAGTGTTAGACCAGAGGACATCGCCAAAAGGCGAACAGCACAAAGACAATGCCACCATCAGGGCATTGAAATCTGTAGGTCAGCAGCTACATCACGGGACCTCCCTTGCCAGTATCAAAATATAAGAACAAGTTTTACCCTTTCTAGGAATCAAACAGTTGTGTTAAGATGTTAAAACGCCAAACTGAAACCTTTTTTGTTTGCATGTTCACCACAAGTACTCTGTGGGTGGTTAATGCAGGCAGGATTCCTTGCAAAAGGTTTCAGTTTGGCGTTTTGACATCTTAACATAACTGTTTTATTGCCAGAAAGGGTAAAACCTATTATTATATTTTTATATTGGCAATGGAGGTCCCATGATGCGATCGATGTTGGTGCTTGGTGATGGTGATTGTTGTGGTGGTGGTGGTGGTGGTGGTGATGGAGTTGGCCAAAGATCCCAATACATATAGGGCCGCAGAACGTGGACAATTGTTGGTGGCGCCGGTTGTGGCTGCATGCCTCCTCCATTTGCCCGTGGGTTCCACGCCTCTGAATCACTCGAACTCTCTCTCTCTCTGTGTGCGCGTTAAACATTACAATATTCGTTTCTGTGTTTCGACCAGCAGCGTAACGAGCATGGGGGTAGTCAGGGGTGCCTTGGCCACCCCGCTGGTGGTCAAAGCTACGAGTTGTGGGCCCCTTTGACAGCCACCATGTTTTTTTAACAGTGTAAAATAACAATTACTTATTTACGGATTCGAAGATTTCGTGACTGCAGGAATTACTCTTTGGTTCTTTCAGTAACGTCACGTAGAAAATCAAATCAAATACTAATAGAATGCGACGTTTCGGTTGCAACACAAGCAACCATCATCAGGTAAGACATGAATGATGAAACGCAGACACGGAAACAACATAGGCAGACACACATGCAGAGACAGGCACACACACAAAGACACATTGTGTGAGCGTGTCTGCCTATGTTGTTTCCGTGTCTGCTTCATCATTAATTCTTACCTGATGATGGTTGCTTGTGTTGCAACCGAAACGTCGCATTCTATTAGTATTCGATTAGATTCTCTACGTGACTTTACCGAAATAACCAAAGAGTAATTTACGTACGGTTTAAAATTAATTCTACGAAAATGCTTCCATTTACGCTCCACGTTTTATTTTAATTTAATCAGAGCATTCTTGGGGGCCCCACCTGAGCTGACGAAGCTGTCGTCACGGCGCCGCTGCCTTCGACCGTGTCAAGGTGGGAACCTGTCCGACTCATCAGTGAGCACAGCGACTGTGGCAGCGGCGTCTCGCGTCGCGAGGGTTAAATGCTGAGTCGAGAGCAAGCGGCAAGCAGTCCGCCTAGCTTCTTTATGTCCAAGGTGACCTGGAACAACGCATACACTTGCACGCAGATAACAAAGGCGCCCGTGTAGCTTGGCAGACTGTTGGGGCAAGTGCTGTTAGCGAGCACCAATTAAGGCCAGCACGACGCACGCGATGGGGGTGGGTGGCCAACACCACGCCCGACCGCCTTTGTCTCCCCAGTGCTGATGTTTACACACCGCACCAGGTTACTCGTTTAAGGCCGAGTCGACCTAGGGGAGGCCCAGGAATGGATCAGAATCATTTGGCCGTGCGCGGAAATTGAACTCTGGTTGCCGGTCCGTACCGCAGTGCGCTAACCACTGCGCCACCGCTCCCCCTCCCCCCTCCACGCACGCACACAGCACACTTGAACACAGTCTCACACACGCGCACGCGTGCGTGCGCTCTCTCTTACACACACCCCCCTCGCCCGCCCCCTCTCCCTCGCGCGCGCGCGCGCGCGCACACTCTTATCACGCGCGCACACTCTCTCCCACCCGCACACACATCACTGCGCTCCCTCCCTCTCCTCTCTCATTCATTCATTCACACGCGCGCACCGCGCACCACACGAAGCAGCCAGCAGCTGTAGCCCATTGCCAACTGCATTTTCCTTGCGCGCGCGTGTGTGTGTGTCTCTCTCTGTCTGTCTGCATGTGCCTCCTTGCGTTATCATCCTCCACACACACGCAGCGCGTGTTGACTGCACTGCGCTATGGCTCCCGTGGACAGCACGCGAGGCTACTGGGGACCGCCCACCGCCACTCTTGACTGGTGCGAAGAGAATTACGTGGTCAGCGTGTACGTCGCAGAATTCTGTGAGTACTGAACCAACACTCGCTCGCACACCCGTCCATCCGCATGCACCCACCAGTCGCGTGCGCTCACTGGCACGGCTTGTAGTCACAGTGTCGTACGATGATGATGATCGCCTGTGTATGATGATCACCTGTGCATGGTGATCGCCTGTATATGATGATCGCCTGTGTATGATGATCACCTGTGTATGATGATCGCCTGAGGTATGATGATCGCCTGTGTATGGTGATCACCTGAGTATGGTGATCACCTGAGTATGATGACCACCTGTGTATGGTGATCACCTGAGTATGGTGATCACCTGAGTGATCACCTGTGTATGGTGATCACCTGTGCATGATGATCGTCTGTGTATGATGATCACCTGTGTGTGGTGATCACCTGTGTATGGTGATCACCTGAGTATGATGACCACCTGTGTATGGTGATCACCTGTGTATGGTGATCACCTGAGTATGATGACCGCCTGTGTATGGTGATCGCCTGTGTGTGGTGATCGCCTGTGTGTGATGATCGCCTGAGTGTGATGATCGCCTGAGTGTGGTGATCGCCTGTGTGTGATGATCGCCTGTGTGTGGTGATCGCCTGTGTGTGATGATCGCCTGTGTGTGATGATCGCCTGAGTGTGATGATCGCCTGAGTGTGATGATCGCCTGAGTGTGATGATCGCCTGAGTGTGGTGATCGCCTGTGTGTGATGATCACCTGTGCATGGTGATCACCTGTGCATGATGATCACCTGTGCATGATGATCACCTGTGCATGATGATCACCTGTGCATGATGATCACCTGTGCATGATGATCACCTGAGTATGGTGATCACCTGAGTATGGTGATCACCTGAGTATGATCACCTGTGTATGATGATCGCCTGTGAATGGTGATCACCTGTGTATGATGATCGCCTGTGAATGGTGATCACCTGTGTATGATGATCACCTGAGTATGGTGATCACCTGTGTATGATGATCACCTGAGTATGATCACCTGTGTATGATGATCGCCTGTGAATGGTGATCACTTGTGTATGATGATCGCCTGTGAATGGTGATCACTTGTGTATGATGATCGCCTGTGCATGATGATCACCTGTGTATGATGATCACCTGAGTATGGTGATCACCTGTGTATGATGATCACCTGAGTATGATCACCTGTGTATGATGATCGCCTGTGAATGGTGATCACTTGTGTATGATGATCGCCTGTGCATGATGATCACCTGTGTATGATGATCGCCTGTGAATGGTGATCACCTGTGCATGATGATGTGATGTGGTCGGAGCGCTGGCGCAATGGTTGGCGCACCGGGTTCTGAGCTCGGCGTTTCCACCCGAGTTCGATTCCCGGCCACGGCTAACATCAGTGGCGAGTGATGTCTGAACCACCCCTACCTCTGGAACCTCCATTCACCAACCCGCGTTGACCGGCGTGGTGAAGTATGGTCAAACACCCCCAAGATCAACAATACGGCGTGGATGGAGGACATAGTCCACCAGCGGATTGACAAAGGGCCTTGACATGGTTCACTGTTGTACATTCCCATTGTGCCAGACTGTATCCCAACACACCTAATGCACACGTGGAACGCACGGCTATACCAAAATAGCATGTGACATATTGCACGAGATATGACGGACGCAGTGGGAATCTACGGATGAAATGCACCTTACAAATATAAATAATTATTATTCTTCTAAGCTGTAAGAGGAAGGTGCCATGAGGTGGAGTCTTTTGCATGTGCGAGTTTACCTCTCTCCGTACGCAACCCTCCAACAAACCAATTCATCAACTTGGCCAAACATCGCACGAAATAGTCTCGAGAATCAGTGAGTAGACGTGGGGCATTGTCATCACCTGCAGGTGTGTGTACACTGTGTGCACACGTGAGTGTGTGTGCTTGTGTTACGAGCTGCCACTTGGACAATGTCGAGTGAGGGTTGTGTGCGTCGTGTGCTTGACTCGGAGAACAGGGCGACCCACCTGTGCTCCCCCTACCTGGGTTGCCTTAGCCCCCGCTTGCTCGTCACCCGAGTTCGATTCGCAACCACAGATACCATCGGTGTCGAGTGATACCTGAAGCGGTCCTGGGCTTCAACACCTTTACCAACCTGCACCGACCGGCGTGGTGCAGTATGGTCAAAACAACCATCGTGACCAACACTGGATGAAGGCCTTCATCAGTACGGGACTGACAGAGAGCTCTAAATGATTAAACTGTAGTTACTTAATGCCTTGGCATTGCTCTACGGACTGCAACTGTGATGCTCGCGAGGGCTGTCTGGGTGCAGTGCTACCACAGTCTGCCGCAGTTCAGCTCGCGCGCCGTGGCCGAGTTCCATGCAAACCCTGCATTCATTTCCGAGTAAACATTTGCGTATAAAAATAACTCGGAGCACCTTTCACCACTATACAATCAAGCCGGGTAGATCGTTCTCTCCATGCTCAATGTGGGCAATGCTTGTACACACACACACATATCATTTCCCTCCACAGCCCAACGCGACCTTGGTGGAAATTCTACATTCCTATAGCTGTGGGCAGTCTCGTCCGTACAGGGATGATCACTGCTGAGTCACCTTCCCACAAAGTGGTGCTCGTTTTATTAAACCCACCTCGCAAACAAAGGGTGATGAGGTCAGTGAACCTGCTGGGATATGAAACCCTTTACCTTCAGGTGGAGGTCACGTGCTCGACCCGCCGCGCGACGCGAACCGCGTTATTTTAATTTCCTTGAACAGGGATGGCACAATGAAACCAATTACCGGTGATGCATTACATTTCACGCACGAGCCAAATGATAGGAGCCGGGTAAAATGTTTTCGTTCAGCGCCGCACCACCGACAGTAAAAACCAAACTCGCGAGATTTCATACGCATTTATCAGAGGGCAAACGCGAATTAAATGTAATTCTAGTCGTTCCCAATCCACCAATAGATGATGGACTCCCCGTGCCATGTCCGTTTGTTGTCCTTCCCCCGCACCTACGATTAGCGCGGTCGGCTACGTACGGTGCGAAAGAAGTTCCACGTACATACAGTGTTGGGGTTTTTGGTGATTGGTCCCCATGCCACTCGCCACTGATATTAGCCGTGGCTGGGAATCACACTCGGGTGGGTGGGTTCCTAAATACTCTAAATACCAACAATATTAGTTTCAATGCAATCTGCCACTGCACCGAGAGATACAAATGCTGAAGATTGTGTCAATCTTTCAAACGAAGTGAGAATAAATAACTAAAAGCGACTCAGACTTGATTCTACCTATTCCTAGAGCAGGCTGATAATTATCCATCACAGTCACAACAAATTATCTACCCAGGAAAACTGCCCTGAGTCAGTCTCAAGGCTCATTTTCAGAAGGATCCTGCGTGGAATGTGGCCAATTGCATTATTGAGTGCATGTGTGTGTGTGTTTTTCAAATCCTGACGTCCTCCAGAAAATACCATGGATATGAGATGAACCCTGCAGGTAATTATGATAATGCTCTGTGTTTATTCAGAAAATCTTCAGTGATTCTCAAGAGTCTTTATCTTGTGACGGTTGGCCAAGTTAATGGATGAGTTTGTGGATTGTTGGAGGGTACACAGCAAGACGAGAGATTAACACGTACAGCCAGATGCTGGATGTAATCTCCGATCAAACTTCGGATAAGAACAAACACAAAATTCAGGTTGTGCTTGCTTTTCAACATTCATTCACTTTGCTGTTAAACAAATTTGACTGGCATAATGTCCCCACGTGCCACCTCGATTTGATTGGCTGTGTCATGGGGTGGAGAGCGATACTGAAATAATTGACATGCCCACAGTCTATCTCAGAGGAGACTGATTATGAATGAAAGTCTTACACTCGATAGGTCGGCAGTGAGCAGCAGATGCCTGGCTCGACATTGTGGCCGCCCAGTGGAAGGTGCCACTCTATCACTGTCCCCTTCCCCCCTATCTGACCTGGCCCGACTGGACACCTGTGAACAAGCCCGATATAGCTCATTAGACTTCTCCTCCAGGGTAAATACAGGTTCCGATTCAACACTCCTGGGGTGCTGGCACCACCCCCAGCAAACACGAGCCCATCGGCCGCGACCACTTGATTTTTCGACTCGTACAAACGCCAAATGTGCTCATTGTGTGGACAATAACGGCAAGGAAAACGACGTAGTTGCTCGAGTTAAACATTTACAGACATTTCCAACCGTGAGGTTGCTCTCTCCAAGGTCGTTGTTTTCCACGTCTCAGGTACAACTCAAGAGACGTGGACTGACTCCTATATTTAGATTATACACAAACACATTCTTGGCCTTAACAACCCCTAGTTTTTGCACCTTAAATGCACCACTCTGTGACAGCTAATGTTTATTATAAACAGTTAGTTTGCACCGCGGCGTGCACTGATTTTAAACAAGCAGTTAATTTGTGGCCCTTTGAAATCGAACCACTGCTGGGCGTAGGTGTCCCCTCGCACGTGACCCCTCGCACGTGTCCCCTCGCACGTGACCCCACGCACGTGTCCCCACGCACGTGACCCCCACGCACGTGACCCCCACGCACGTGACCCCACGCACGTGACCCCTCGCACGTGACCCCACGCACGTGACCCCACGCACGTGTCCCCACGCACGTGACCCCACGCACGTGACCCCACGCACGTGTCCCCACGCACGTGTCCCCACGCACGTGACCCCACGAGGATCTCCACCTCTTCCAGGGACTTATTTCCCTGTCAGCCCAAGTCTATCAACACTGTGCATCAGCAGCATCAGCAGCAGCAGCAACATCCTGCAGTAATAACTCAACACAGTACCGGTACCAGACCTCGGTACAAATCGATTCCTGCCACCTGAACACAGACCGCTGGGCCGTCTGGGTCTAACCTGGACTGGTGGAAACCCGAGCCAACACACCGGATCAGTTCCACTATACTTCACCACTCTGGTCGGGTGTGGGGTTTAATTTCAACCAATGATCGTCTGACCAAAATCTCGCACAGACACAGGTTG